CTCTCTGTGTCTTGTTTTATTTTCTCTCTCTCTCTCTCTTTTTATCTCCCTCCCTCATCCTCCTGTTCCTCGCCATCCCTATTCCGATGAGGTAGAGGGGCAGGGAGAGAGAGAGAGAGAGAGAGAAAAAAAAAAAAGATAGAGAGAGAGAGAGAGACTAGAGGGAACAACGGCTCCTGTGACAAGGTTTGCGAAGGAAGGGGGCCACACCCTGTGATTACATGGTTGTTTGGATTTCTGGTGGGAGAATCACAAGAACCACGCGCTTCAATTGTTTTTGGAATTGGGTGCCTCTACATCCTCCAACGAATACCCAACGCTGCAGCCCTCCACAGTTGTGAACACCAGACATCCAGCAAAACCCAAACCGTCCGCATGACATCACAAGGGTTCTAGGATTCTCTTACCGGAACCCCCAAATAGCCAGGACACGGCACAGGGTGTGGCGCCCCTACTTCGCAAACCATGTGGATTCACAAAGGTCGCTGCTCCCTTGAATCTATCGTTCTCGCTCTCTCGCGCTCTCTCTCTCTCTGTCTCCCTGCCTCGTCGGAAGTGGAAAGAGGAGAAGGATGAGGAGGCGACGAGAGCAAACACATGAGGAGGGGGAGGAGCAGCAGCAGCTGCAGCAGGAGGGCCCGCATTAGCAGGAAGAGGAGGAAGAGACGTATCAGGAAGAGGAGGATCAGCCGGAGGGCGCCCAACACGAGGAATAGGAGCAGGGAGCGACGTGGAAGAAGAGGAGAGAACATCAACGTCATAATGCAAAAAACGATCAGTGAGTGCTTGGGGGGCTGTGTATATGCATATGTATATGTACACATATATACATGAATACACACATATGTATACACGTATATACAACTGTATATGCAACAACTATACATAGTCATTTACACATATACACATGCATATGTATATATACATTTATATACATACATATTCACGTTTATATATATGCATGTATGCATGTCTATGTACATTTTTATATATACATACGTATGCGCATACATACACAGCTATAATCACACCTGCATATACGTATATAATCGTATGTATATACATATGTACATACCAATATATATACATATATATATATATGCATACATACATACATACATACATACATACATACATACACACACATACATACACACACATACATACATACATACATATATACATGTATCACGGTTTGCCTGTTTTTTACCATCTAGGCCCCTCTCTGTGGAGAGCCTCGCGATCTTCGCGGCATAGCCAGCATAATATCTGGGCACCCCCCACGGGGGGCGCAGGCACAGAGGACCACATTTTGAAAACCACCCTCCCGCCATCCTTGAAATTGTTGCAAACTTTCACCACGTGTTGAAAAAGAACCCCCTCCATCCGTGAAACTTTTGCAATCTCCATCAGGGTCACACGAGTCGAGGAGGTCTCAGGCAAAACGCCTGGCCCTCCCTACTGTCACGTCTGGGGGTGCGATAGGGAGGAGTGATTTCTTCATAAGAAAGAAGGATGGAGGATGAGTATCGGGGATGGACAGAACCCCCTATAGTAAAACGTGGTTTAGTGAAAACGACATCGGGCTAAAACCTGGTGGGCGCAAGCCTGGAAAATGACGGCCGCGGCGCCCACTCGAGAACCGAAAACGGACAATTCATGAATCGACGTGTCATGGTGGGGGTTCTGTCCACACCCGAGAGTAAGAGGATGGGGAGCAAGAGAGAGGATGATGAGAATAACTATGACGTGGGGGACGCGGGAAAGGGAGGACTGGGCCAGTGATCGCAGCGCGGGTCTCCCGAAAGGAGCGGCGCCGAACTTCAGATGACAGTAGGTGCAACTCTGCCGGACTACGGGTCTGCGTCAGGATATGTAAAACGCTTCTGAACACAATGAGGCTTCGGACCAAAACTGCGCGCCCAAGCCCATCGTCATCCGCGCCCTCCCTCATCAGACAGCAGATGCATGTTTTGGTAATGCAAAATTCGCAAAGTCCGGACCCTTTCCCTGGGGCAAGCTCGTCGTGCCGGACTGCTTTTTCGACGACCCTGGAGCCGAACCCGGATCCCAAAAGCCGAAAGCTGCCGAAAATCTCCGAAAACATGCATGCTTCAAGAATGCGAGAGCCTCCGCCGGCAACGCTGAAGAACATTCGAGAGTAACCTCCACCAGGATGCACAAGAACACCCCGCAAGCACGACGAATGTGTGGGTACTCTCCCCCAACCGACCTTGATCTTACACCTCGGTCCGACCGTATTGGTTGTGTTCAAAGCCCTGGATGTCTGGGCCTCGCCCCGCTTCTCCTGAGCGTACGACGCCTGTAGGGCGTTTTGTTTTCAAAATGTGTCTCTTGCCTTAGCGCCGCGCACACTCGCTGTAAACAGATGGAAAAGTGTCACAGATTGAGGGCGGCTCGCTTTCAAAATGTGACTCTCGCGTTAGCGCCGCGCACATTCTGAACAACTGCAAGAGTTTCGCTGGTTCTCATGGTTATCACGTACCAGACAGAAATGGCTTGGAACATGTTCAGGATTGTCAGGGGGCAAGGGTTACGTTGATTCGCGGAGTTGGAGTCCAAGGAATGGTATTCTGGCGCGACTCAAGATCGCCATGACGTAACAGTCAGGTTAACTCGTGGCATTGAAGTCCCGATACTGGTGTTTTGGCACGCTTCAAGATGTCCACACCGTTGTCCCCCAACGGGGCAATTCCCTGAGTGGAAATGACCCTTGTAGGGACTTATGAAGAGGGGTCCTGGAGAGGGTGTATTTCAACATCGTTGATGAGTCTTGGGTTTAGACTCCACCTTCTCCTCCTCCGCCTTCTCTCATTATTCGTATCCTCCTTTCTTTCTTCTACCCACTGCTCTCCACAACGGCTTGGGGAACACATCGTCCAATCACTTGGCCAGACTTCGGCCCGAGGTATGGCTGCATGGGCGACTCCAAAAGACAGGGGCCGGCGGCGATTCGCCGCATACGTCTTCGATCTGGAGCCCCCTGTGCTGGCCACAAGGGTGCGTGGCGTGCTAAATCTGAAGATGGTCTTAGTATTTCCGAGAAGTTCCCAAGGGTGTCTCGGCCGATCTCGCCGACGCCACCCGAAAAGCTCGTCTGAAGGTGGGAGGCGAGACTGCTTCCGCACCAGATGGCATCATCATCATCATCACGGTTGTCAGCATCAGAACCATCATCATTATCATCAGCAGCACCACCATTATCATCGCCAGCACCAGCACCAGCACCAGCACCAGCACCAGCACCAGCACCAGCACCAGCACCAGCACCATCACCATCACCATCACCATCACCACCACCACCACCATCACCATCACCATCACCATCACCATCACCATCACCACCACCATCACCATCACCATCACCATCATCATCATCATCATCATCATCATCATCATCATCATCATCATCATCATCATCATCATCATCATCATCATCATCATCATCATCATTATCAGCAACATCAGCAACATCATCATCAGCATCATCAGCATCATCATCATCAGCATCAGATGGCCTCCGAGACGGCCAAGACGGCCTCCAAGATGGTCCCAAGACGCCTCCAAGACGGCATAACATGCCCTTCCGACGGCCAGAGATGCCCCCCAAGACGGCCCAAGAGGGCTCTGAGAAGAGCTCTCGGAGGGCAATCATTGATTGTCCTTCGGCTTTTCGATGATGTCAGCGTTCTCGCTTTTTCGGGCTTCCGACGCTCCAGAATGGCCCCTAATCGGCCCCAACGGCCCCCAAGAGCTCCGCAAGACGGCCCACAAGGGTCAAACGACGGCTCCAGAGGCCCCTAAGACGGCCTGATAGACCTCCAAGACGGCCTAAAAGCGCCCAAAGAGAGACCTACGACGGCTTCCGAAGGTCAAGAAACCCCTCTGAGGTTCCCAGAGTCCCCCAAGAGGCTCCCAAGAGGCCCCCAGGAGGCCCCAAGAGGGCCTCAGGATGCCTCCTCCTCCTCCTCCTCCTCCTCATTTTCCTCGTCCTCGTCCTCCCGCCTCTCCTCCCTCACTCGCTTCCTCCCCCAAATGTTTCCCAACGGGATTCCACAACGTCTGGGAAGCACAGAATCCAACAGATTGGCCAGACCGTGTCCTAACGTTTGGCCCCATCGGTGCTTCCAAAAAGCAGGGGGCGGCGGTGATTCGCCGTAAGCGTCTTCGATGTATCCGCAAACCAGTGTTTTGTCACATGAGAGAGCTCGGCGTACTACACGTTTTAAAATTTGAGACATTGGTTAAACATTCCCTATGGCCTTCCGCTTGACCCGCTGGCCATACGGAAATACGAGTGCGTAACTTCATGCCAGGATTGTCTGGTTCCAAGACGGTCCCAGGCCAAGATGGCCCTTGATGACCTCCAAGACGGTCCCAAGACGGCCAAGATGGCCCCAAGACGGCCCAAGATGCCCTCTAGACGGCCGAAGAAACCCCAAATACCCCAAAGAGGGCCAAGAGGGTCTCCAGGAGCATGATGGTCATTCGGTGTTCAATGATTGTAGCGTTCTCGCCTTTCCGGGCTTCCGACCCTCCAAGACCCAAGACAACCCAACAAACCTGCACGACGGTCCAAACGGCCCCAAGACGGCCCGGTAGACCTCCAAGACGGCCCCATAGAGTCCAAAGAGGGACACACGACTGTCCAGATAAGACCCCAAGACGGCCTCCTAAGGCCAAGAGGTTTCTGAGAGGCCCGCAGAGGCACCGAAGAGGCCCCTAAGAGGCCCCCAATAGGCCCAATGATACCCACAAGAAGCCCCCCAAGAGGCTCCCAGGAAGCCCCCTGGGAAGCCACAAGACGACCTCAAGGGGCCTGCTTCTCCTCCTCCTCCTCGTCCTCATTCTTATCCCTATCCCACCCCTGTCTCTTTCACTCCCAAATGTTCTCCAAAGGGCGGGTCGAACCGAAATCCGATCCGATGTCAATGGCAAATCCCAAAACCGCACTCATCTACCTGGACCTTTTTCTCACCCGCAGGATGCTGTCTCCGGTACCTATACATGCAGGAAGGGACGATCGTGGTATCATGTTCGCTCGCTCTCGATTGCTTCTGGCATGCGGTCATTTGCTACGAATTCTTCTTGGTGCCATTGCCACGCGCCGCATGCGCTAGGCGAGACCATGAAGCATCTATTGTTGCAACATGTTGCCGATCGGCCGACACTCAGCGCTGGCACGCGTGCGTGGTCCGAGCTTTTCTGGAAGTGCCACGAGACGCATGCTTGGTATTGAAAATTCGGAGGCATCGACACTGCCAGCAGTAATCCTGATTTCAATGAGGGGGAGCGTCCACCATCCTTCCTACTCCCTCCTTCTGCTGGCGCTCCTCCTCCGCATTCCGCTTCTGCTTCCCCTCCTCCTCCTCGTTATCCCCAAACATCCCACAAAAACTGGACCGTCAAAATGCAGGACACGCTCGTAAGAAAATGTCTGCACATCCGAATTCCGGCTTACTCGAGTCTTACGTCTCCCCGATTTGGGCAGCCTTCCGCGCACCAGTATTGCGTCTCCTGCTGCTGCTGACGATGCTGCGGCGGTTCTATTACTGATGCTGCGACGATGCTGGCGCCGTCTGGGAAATGCATAGGAATCGGCGTGGACTGCTAGCACTGATATAGATAGGGATCGGATAGGGATGCCCGAGCGCAGCGCAATGGGCTTGCGGAAAGCAGCCACAGGGATCTGATCGAAATCTGAAATGGATCTGATAAAGATCTGGTATCCATGGGATGGCGTATGGGATCTGGTGAAGATTCCCCGGCGCACCCTCCAATGCGGAATTGCGCAACCGACAGAGTCAAATTATCCGAGAGGGGGGAGACCAATGACCCGGATTATCGCCCGACCCAAAAATCAGTCTCCTGTCTGGGACCGTTTTCGCGAAATCTGGGACGTCTCTCGACGCTTCGAAGGTGTTCCAGAGCTGCTTTCTCGAACCGTCGTCTGGATACGAGTGAGCCCAAGTGTGGTAATCATCGGCCAGCTCTTGGTTTCATGGCGTCTTGAAGTCGTCTCTGGGTTTTTTTGCCATTCGTGCCGCACAGAGACGAAGGGGGGTGATGTCTCTGTTTTTCTTGTGTTTGCCATCAGTGCCGCGCAGAGACAAAGGCAGTCATAGCCACGCCAGCTAGCAATTTCGATGGAAACAACGAATCATAGATACCTCGTGTCCGCGTTTTAGCGAATGCACAGGGGCAAGGCGCAAACCGCTGCAGGAACGATCACGTTCTCAATGTCGGCAGTGACGACACATGCTGGTCAACCACCAAGCAAGTTCTCCGCACCCTCTTGTGGTTAGGGCGCCTCTAGTGGCTTCGTGAGGGCATCTTAGAAGCCTCTTGGGGTCTCTTGAAGCGTCTTGGTAGCCTCTGGCGGCCTCTGAGGAGGCTCCTGGGGCTTCTTGGGGGCCTCTTGGGCAGAAAGGACCGAAATCTGAACTAAGGTTCCCGAGGGTTGCCTTGGGCCGTTCTGGGGCGGTCTTGAAAGTTTCTTGGGCTGTCTTGGGCCGGTAGAAACTAAAACAACGTAAAGGCACAAATCGTTACACCAACGAGAAGTGGAACGTTTTTGCCTCTCAGGGCCCTGTTTGGGAGGCTCGTAAGACTCTCCGGGGCTATCTTGGGCGTCGCCTGGGTCACTAGAGGCTTTCTTGGGCATCCTGGATGGCTTTTCGGCCGTCTCCAATGCCTCTTGGACGGTGTAGGTGTGCTCTTGGGCCGCTCCTGGGCGGTCTCGGGAATCCCTGGAACCGCGAAAGGCCGCCCAAGGCGCCCATGCAAACCGTTGGCAGCGGCCCGGTCCCCCCCAAAAACTACGCCGAAACGTTTGTGTTTTGGGGGGGGGGAACCCTGCGCGGGCCAACGCCCACAAGAGCCGCGCACCGAGCACGGTCGCAGGAGGGGCGGGTGGACACGGCGGAAGCCACAACGGGAAGCGTGTCGCACACGTGAAAGCAAACTGTTTCTGCCCAAGGCGGCATGTGCAACTCTGTGCTGTTTCGACCCAATCTGCACAAAGCATCTCTGCACGCTCGTAACGCGTGTTTACATACTTTCGCCGCGCCGGAACGACTGCAAATGCCGAATTCCGTCATGACTCGTATACTTCTGCGAAACGGTAGCGGATTTACGGGGCGATACGAATTATGCCTAAAACGTATCAGCGCCACGGGGGACAGAGGAGCAGGAGGAGGAGGAAGGGGAGGAGGAGGAGGAGGAGGAGGAGGAAGGAAAACACTGAACAAAACCCTGTGGGTCATCGCCAGCCGACTCCTGTGAATCTGGGCGCCCCGCTGACCAAGTTAAGGCGTGCTGTCAAAATGTCGCGCTTCTTGGCGACTCGATACAACATACACGGAAACAGTGCTGGGCAGCGACCGCGAAGGACAACGACGAAAAGCCAAGCCTACGCCGAAACATGCGATATATATATATATATATATATATATATATATATATAAAAAGCACACACATGCATACACACCTGTATATGTATATATATATATATATATATATATATATATATAGGTGTGCAATATATATATATACAGCATTGCACTCCGCTCTTTTTCTTCCAGGCCAGCAGCGATATGTCGTGGCGACAGACCTTCGCCCTGAGAAGACTGGAGCTAACGACTCATAAAACACAACCCCCTGGACCGGTCTCAGAGATACTAAACTCCTGAAAGTTACAAGGGATCATAGGCGGGGCGGGCGGGCTCTGGGAGCCTTGAGCCCAAACGTGTAAGGACATGGAGAAGGGAAGAGAGAGAGAACGGGAGAGAGAGACCTGGCAGGTGTCTCCACCCGCGGTACAAGGGTCATCTTCACGAACTCAACGGCCTTCCCGAACGAACTCCGCTCAACGCTAGAACGATACCAAGGTGATCTACCAAGCATTGCACTCCGCTCTTTTTCTTCCAGGCCAGCAGCGATATGTCGTGGCGACAGACCTTCGCCCTGATAAGACTGGAGCTAGCGACTCATAAAACGCAACCCTCTGGACCGGTCTCAGAGATACTAAACTCCCGATTTGCCGTAGTTACAACTGGAGGCATCGGATTAAAGGTCACGGTAGCCATATATCTCAATTGCAGCCAGGGCATCTTTAAAGCTATGTGCTAGAGCGTTACGCAAGGCACGGGGGTAGGGCTCGGCAATTAAAGTTCGGAAAACACCATTAAACTTTCCGGACAGCTCAACGTGGGGCTTATTACTGTAGCTACAAATGCCGCGGCCAGTGCAGAGACGAGAGCATCTGGACAAATCTACATGCACACTTACGATTCTGGTTCGTTTGCGCCACGGCATACTGAAACCACAAAAATCGGTTCGGATGCTACGCGCGGGGCAGAGGCGGCAGGCAGAAGCCATCGGTGGGCACAGCCATATCCTGCTGGTCGAGGCTCCGAGGGATTCTCCAACGCACACGGTATGATGAGACGAGCACAGAGCCTCAAGACGGACGCCGAGAAGGTCATGAGCACGTTCCCGATTCGAACTTTTTCACGGTCCACGGCCGAGAGATCTGGGAGCTCAAGAGGTTCAGAACCGCTCCTTAGCCGGGGAGGCCCGCCACCACGGTCGCGGGCACGAGAGAAACTCGAACATGGAGTCCCCATCCAGACTGCAATAACCAACGACGCCAGCAACCATCCTCGCACAAATTGTTGCACCTTCGGTAACGTTAGATCATACTGCTCTCCATGGCGAATGCCAAATTCAATGATTGGCAATCCAACATTCCGTCTCCAAGCAGCTGAGAAATTTCCAGACCCAGAAAAAAGCTCAATCGCGAACCGCACAACTATGTAGTTGGCCTTCAAGAGCGGCAGGACCTGCTCATGATGGCGCCAATCTCGGAAGCGCACTTTGCCGCTGCGAGCTGAGCGCCTTGCGGCAGGTAGTGCAACTGCTCCGTCAGACGACCTGCCTTTTGGTAGCGGCGCATCGAGCTTGGCTGGGCCCACCCGCCACGGTGCTGCACGCCTAGCGGGCTCCGGCGGCCGAGGCCGATGTCGAGGCTCGCGCCCGCGCGTCGGAGCCCGTGCAGCGTCGGTGGCCCCAAGTCCTGGAGGCCCAGCGCCAGTCCGCCCTTCCTGTGCTCGTTTCGCCACTGCTGGTAGGTGAACTCGAACAGAGGGGCGTCTGGACCGCCTGCCTGGCGCCACAGGGCCTCCAGCAGCGGGACCATGAAGTCGTGATCTGGCAGGTCCAGCGGCCGCGAGTCGCCCCACTTGTTGACCTTCGACGGCTGCCCGAGCTCCATCGGATGGAGGGTCACCGTCCACCTCGAGTGGTGCTTGCCTCCGCTCGGCAGCGGCGGCGCCAGCTGGCAGCGGCGCAGACTGAGGGCCTCGCTCGGCCTCAGGTAGAACACCACGCACATCAGCACCGCCACCGCCATGGACCACCGGTCGTTGCGGACCAGCCAGTCGCACAAAAGGCAGATCACCTCCCACGGCGTCGGCAGCCGCGACATGCTTGGGCACTTCAGAGCCCATCCCCGGAGAGCCTGGCGGGCAGCCGCCAGGTGGGTTCCCTTCTGACGCCCCCACTGTGGGTTGAAGTAGCAGGTCGCCGACACCAGGCGCGAGCCCAGGCTGGAGTGCGCCCCCTCGAAGTACTGGCAGTCGAAGAAGTCCACGAGCGCGTCGTCGACCTGCTTCTCCGACTAGAGAGGGAGGAGGCGGCGCCGTGCCCAGTCCTCGAAGCTCTGCCAGCTCTCCAGGTACAGCCGCTGGGTGCGCGGCCGGACGCTGGCCGCCTGGAGGTAGCTCAGCCTCGCCAGCTCCGGAGCCCTCGTAGCAGCCGAGCCCCAGCGGGCAGCCGCGCGCGCAGCGGCACGTCGGGCCTGCGGCTGCGCCCGGCGCCGCGCCGGCGCCGGCGGCCCGACCCCTTCCTGCGCGCGGCCCCTCGGCGGGGCCGCGTCGGGCGTCGACCCCCTCTTGCCCCGGAGGGCCGGGCCTCGCGCTCGCGGCCTGCCAGTGTGGACCGGCGCCTCCCGGCGCAGCCAGGGCAGCGGCTGCGCTGCTGCCCCGTGGAGCCCGGCCGAGGTCGGGGCACGCGGCAGCGTTGCCAGCTCCACGCCCGGCGACGGCGCCCGGCGGCAGTAGCCCTCTCCGCGAGGGAGCATCAGCAGGGTTCTCCTCGCTCGAGATCCACCTCAAGTAGACGGAACATCCCGACACAAGCGCCAGGGCAGCCCAGCGCCGGACAACACGGAGCATCCCGGGCGCAGACGTTCGGCCCTTGCTCAGAGCCAGAACAGCGGACATCGAGTCGCTGAGGATGAGAAG